TCTGGTCCCCATTTATCCATGGTTCCTGAATAAGTGCTATTTGTAAGGGTGTTGTATGCCTCTCAGTTAGGGTCCTTAGTAACACGCTACTGGCCCCCTTACTGTGATACAGGTTTATCTGAGTGAATTGAATTCTATTGTCCGAAGGTCTACGTTTTAGATCCTCGATTTTGTCAGCTACTGCTCCCAGTTGATCTTGCGACTCCTGGTCTGCATTAGTTGACGTTGCTGTCTCTTTGCTAGTAGACGGTTCACCAAGAGTCCCGTTGTTGGCATTGAGACCTTCTAGTACAGCGATTCTTTTGCGAAGAATCGCTAGTTCACGCTCTTGTTCCGACGGGTTGTCCGTAGGATCCCTGATCGTCACAAGTTCGTTGTTTTGTGGTTTTTCTATGTTTTTATCCATATAGTTCCCACGAGAAGTCNATGTGTTGAAAGAATAGGTGGTGAAATATTACCAGCTTCTAAACTACCATAATTGAATATATCTTTCCTATTGTTTAGTTTATCCAAAGTAAATAATTGAACTGTAATGGTTAGATATTTGAGTATATGACACATATTATAATGACACACCCCTTCAATAATATCATANATATTATAATGACACACCCCTTCAAAAATATCATGCATAATATCTACACAGAGGTTATTAATTACATGAAAACTATTAATTTTGTTAAGAATGGACTCTTTGTAAATACCAGATTCTTTAAAATTTAAACTGGCTGTGTCTATTTCATAATTATCAACAGTTCTAAGTAATGATGAGTTTTCAATAGACATAACTTTAGTAAGTTCTTTATGTGCTTTACACAAACGACAAAAAAATTTGGCTGAAAAAGATTTACTAAATTCTAAAATGCTGTTGACACCAAGATTATCTCCTAAAACTAAACCAAGAATGAAATATATTTTCCACTGTCCATCGTCTGTTGTTATAGTTATTCCATCTTTTTCAAGATAATTAATTTCATTAACTAAATTAGTTAAACATTTATCATTGCCAAACATTTTAAAATCAACTGATTTAACTAAAGATGCTAAAAATATGTTAGACAGCATAGAATTATTATTATGAAGCGGAAAATTATAATAAATTGCAGCAATTGATTGAAATTTAGAATGAGAGCCCAGAGGATTATTAATTTCCAGATCATCAACATATAAAAAAAAAGGAAAAACAATTTTTCCTTCATATGGTACAATTTTTTGTTTCCAAAGTTTACCTTGTATAAAATTTGATATTTTATCTGTATTATTTGTTTTTAAATCATTCATATTATTCAACATTTTTTTATAATTATTACCATGTTCAAAAAATTTTTTAAATTGAAACCTTAAAGGCAGTAAAACTGCTCTAGTGTGCTCTTCATTATATAATGAAGAGCACACTAGTATATACTGCNTAAAGGCAGTAAAACTGCTCTAGTGTGCTCTTCATTATATACTGCTGTGCCATTTACTTGTACTATGTTTATTTCATTATTTATAGTAAACTGTGTTAAATTTTCCAAATAATCATTTTGTTTTAGCCATGAAGTTAATAAATGATCATTATAACAATGACAAAAAGGATCTTTTATAACTGAATTAATACGAAAAAACTTAGCTTTTATTAATGGTTCATCAATTTCGGTTTGAACAACTTTTTTATGCATATCAGCCAAAGGTTCAAAAATTAAATCTTTTAAAAGCTTTTGTATAGTAGTAATATCTTTAAAAGTAAAATTATTATTTGCATGCAAATTCATAACAAATAAAACTGATGATTTATAAAAAGCATTAATACATTAATTTAAATCTAAATTATTGCCTTTTTTATTATTTAAGACTTGTGTTATAAATGAATTGTTTATTTGCNTATTTAAGACTTCATGTGTTATAAATGAATTGTTTATTTGTGTTTCCGAAGTAGAAAGTTCTATGAAAGCTGCAGTATTTTTACTTTTATTTGAAAAAAAAGATTTTAATTGGGTGTGTTTATTAAGAATATGCCTTTTAAATGTGGATAAATTATTAAAAGTTTGAAAACATTCATTTTCAAAACATTCGTAGGTACTATATGACTTTAAATTATGAATGACTTTGAAATGAGTGACCAAAGAAGAAAGTTCATTAATATTACTTTTGCAAATAAAACAAATCATTTTAAATTATTTGTACTTCTATTTATAATAAAAATTATGTATTTATTAAAAAAAAAGTTGTACTTACTAGTAACACGGTGACAAGATGTGCACTCGACATTAAAAAAAAAATGTGAATGGCCGATGTTTGTCCGCGGAGTGTATCCCTTGAAAATGTTCCAGGAATATAACATTTGTCTATTAGAAAAAAAAGAAAAACAAGCGCGAAAAGTTTTGCTTGAAACGCGTGATTGTTTTAAAGCGCGGTTAGGCGTTGTACAAATCTGCACGCGCGTCATGGTCTAGACATACCATATGTATTCAATACACTCTCCGAGTGGCAGATCTATTACCATNAGGCGTTGTACAAATCTGCACGCGCGTCATGGTCTAGACATACCATATGTATTCAATACACTCTCCGAGTGGCAGATCTATTATAGGATNCACTCTCCGAGTGGCAGATCTATTACCAAAAATATTATAGGAAATTTCTAATGAAAACAAATTTTTAAATATTACTGTCATTATAAAAAAATATACGATTATTATAAAATCATTTAAAAATAACATCAGCCATTTTATTTTTTCAAATAACAACTTATTCTAAAAATCTACAATTTTTTTGTTGCAATGATAAAATATTTTTCACAACAATAATTAAACCTGTGTCATATTTATAAAAACATATTTTCATATTGACAAAGACTCCAAATTTGATAAATTATTATTTATCAATTTGATAATTTTTTTTCTTGTCTTGAACAATAATTATTTATAAGAATAATCATTTTGTTCGTATTAATAAAACATTATCATAAACCCTTGATAAAATTTCTCTATCAAAATTGATTGAGGTTTTTCTTTGGGTGTACTAAGGACTAGCGTTTGATACTATAAAAAAAAATAATAATAACAAACTTCATGACGTATAAACGTAACTACTGAATTAAAATAGAAGTTTTTAGTATCAAAATATTTCTTTAAACAATTTTAATAAAAAATTAAATTTTTAAAATATATTTTGTAACTGCGAAAAGTAACATAAAACATATTTCAAATATAGCCCTATGTTGTAAAAATATACAGTGTTGGGAAAGTTCCTTTTTAAATGGAACTCGTTCCGTTCCCCGTTCATTTTCTAAAAGATGAACTCGTTCCAAATCCTAGTTCTTTATATTAAGAAGGACCTTGTTCCAGATCCAGTTCCTCCAAAATAAGAACTCGTTCCACTCTTCGTTCCTTTTATGTAACCAAGTTATTTAAAAAATTGTTTTTATTTTTATTATGAATTATTAGATTATATGGCATATTTAAATCAAAAGGCATAAATAAATATGTTTAATAATGTTTTATAACTAGTAACTACACAAAAACAATGTGACATCATTCTGTAATAAAAATGTATAACTGTACTACTGATCTTTTAAATCATAATATAAATAACTACTATAATAATTAAAATGGTACACATTACAGATGTAGTTTTAAATATTATAACATTGTAATAATGCATATTTCTTATTATTAGACTTATAGCTGTTAACTGTAAAAAATTTGTATAGTTAACAACTATTTACAACTATTTATTTACAGTTTTACTATTTAATAGTATTATATTAAAAGTATTTTTAGTATTTAACACACTCATTAATTACAAATTTGAGAATTATTAGTCCTATTAAAACAAAACAAAATTTTCATTTTATATACCAAATTTGTTTTGTTTTAATAGAACTAATTTTTCAAAAAGTGAATCACTCAATTTATGGCGTTTTTGTGTCATCACATTGAAACCTGTCGAAAACAGTCGCTCAACAGGAGCACTAGATGGAAGGGGTGTGTTAAATTCTAAAAATACTTTTAATATTGCAGGGTACAATAGTAACACAGTCAAGTCTTTCGACTGGCATTTTAAGAATAATTCTAACTCTTCAATACGAGAACTTGAAGTTGTATTTTTCTCTACTGGTAAACATATATTAAATATTTACTGTATACCTACATGTGATAATAACTCTATTTATAGTCAATTGATTCATTTAAACAGCCTACGATCTCGGCTGGGTATATAGGGGACTTCCATTGTCAAAAGTCAACTAAAAATACCTTAATATTTTAATGTCTAGATACGAAGAAAACTACACTAAAACATGTTTATAAAAATTTTTAGGAACTGTAATTTCCGTTCACGTTCCTTAAAAAATGGAATTTGTTCATTTTCCTCGTTCCTTTATTTTAAAAGGAAGCAGTTCCTAGCATCGTTCCTTCAAAAAGAACTCGTTCCAGGAATCCGTTCCTTTTGGAACCAGTTCCTTCTCAACACTGAAAATATAGTTTAAAAAAACTAAAAAAACTCGCTTTTAAAGCAGATTGAATTAAAAAGTTAACAATAATTTTTATAATAAGCTTAAAACATGACAAGGCCCGCGTCGCTTCGTTATACACGATGCCCCGCGACTCGTGCCACCTTTATCAGTCGTCACCGTACTATGAATAATTGACTGACCAACACCGCGTGTCATACGCAACGTCCACGAACCGATCCGAACCCACGCACCGACGCCATCAACGCTGCATTTACATGCATCATTCATTCGATATACTTTTTTTTTTAATCAGACTATTTTCTTATATACGGGGGGGGGTTCAAATCTGAAAAATGCATATAGAAAGTAGAACTTTTTCAACTTTACTTTTAAAAGTGTTCCGGATATACTGACACTTATATATATATATATTAAATTAAAGCTAATGTAATATACTTTATTATGGAAAAAAAAAAATATCAGACTTTATTTTGTCTTCACGGCGAAAATGGCTACCATATGCTATTTTTGTGTTAAAATTCTCGATTTTATATTTTACATTTTTATTTTTAAAATGCTATAACTTTTTAAAAAATGTATTGATCATAATAATTTTTTTCAGAAAAATAGTATTTATATACTTCTTTCATTTGTCATACTTTTTTTTTAAATCGGACCATTTCGCTTAATACAGGGTGGGTTCAAAACTTAAAAATGCATATAGAAAGTAGAACTTTTTCAATTTAATTTTTGAAAGTGTTCCGGAAATACTGACACTTATATATCGCACCCCTAGATCTAAATTGTTGTAACTCAAAAAACCTCTTTTTTCACAATTCAAGAAAAACTGATATGAAACTTGCATGCTGTCATAAAAAAAAGAGTGGTGAAAAATGTATTTAGAGTTAAACTAATTGGCAATAATTGAATGTATGTTATATTAAATATAACATATTTTATAAATATATATATTTATAAATATATAAATTTTATATTTTGTCATAAAAAAAAGTGTTAAGTAGGTTAATGTTGTTGTGTTTCGGGTGGTAATTATGTTGAATAAATAAACAACACCGTAATTAAATATCAGTGAAAATATATTTTACAATTGCTATATCCGTAAGATTATATAAAAAACAAAATCAGTTTCCAAAGGAAGTAGACAATAGCCAAAATGTTAATGTTATAATATTATTCTTGTTAGTGACCGGCGGCCTGGACCGGTTCTCCTCACCCGCGGTTACACGGCGTCGCGCGACCTGTCGGACGAGGAGAGGTAGCTGTGTCGCAGTCGCCATCCAGCGGTAAAGCCGGAAGTGCAGTGCGACCGCGTCAATGTTTTGTATATTGGGATGGTGAAATGCAAGAAATAATTTTTTTTTGACATGAAAAACAATGAGAGGATAATTAAATTGAATATGAGTATAAATATTATTTCAACCGGAGTTTTGAAATTCGTTTAGTTACAAAATGAAAATAAAAGCATATGGCACATAATCATAAACTCTTTGTTATGATATAATGACCACTCATATTTTGTCGTAAAATATAGATCGCAAGTAAATTACTTCTGTATGACGCACAATAAAACGTGCAACGATTAAGGAGAAGAATTTTACGACTCTTAATATTTAGTGGTTGTGTTACAGAAATAATAAACTGTGTGTGTTTACATAAATTGCAACTGTCCAGTTGTTGGGCGCCAAGCCTTAATGGCTAAATTGTTTTTTTTTTTATATAGGTATTAAATATAAATTAAATATTTATGTTGAACGCAAGCTGTTGCGTCCTGAATGGTGACTAAGTAGCTATTAATAATATTTCCCTTTTTTTATTATCTGTTATTTGCTTGACAAAAGTTATTCTTGATTTACCTCAAGTTTATTTTCTAATTTTTATAACTTAAAACTTTAGAAATGTAATTTCTTACCTTGTGTCCAGCTAGCTCGATCGTTTGTTGTAAAAAGAATATAAATAAAAAGAGAGCACTGACTTTTATCTACTTATTTATTTTGTAAAATTTTGCAAATTATTAAACTTGAAATATTACTTTACTGTAATTCCTTTCTATACTTGGTGTCTGAGTATACGTGTTACTTTATATTTTAAANCTTGGTGTCTGAGTATATGTGTTACTTTATATTTTAAAATGAATATTTAAATAACCAGATAGATTATGAGAACCAATCCCTAGTGACACGTTATAAACTATTGTTTTACGAATAGTTTTAACCGCTAGATGTGCTAGGGTAATGACTTCAACAAACTATCAATATTTTATGAAATTGTGTATTTGATATGAGAGTCGACAGAGTTAGAGACAGGCTGGCTACACCATCGAAGATTATACTCGTCGATGCACGGACCTTACAGAGTCAAAAACTGCTTGCCGAAAAGAACGTAATGGAATATGAGAATCAATCCCTAGTGACACGTCACAAACTATTGTTTTACCAATAATTTCAACCGCTAGATGTGCTAGGGTAATGATCTCAACAAACCATCAGTATCTTGTGCAATCAATCAAACACGTATTTATTCAAATTTAAAATACATTCTACGATCTCCTTAGTGACACGTCACAAACTATTGTATTACAACAGTTTCAACCGCTAGATGTGCTAAGGTAGATTTTCGAAATGGACTTATTAAATAGACACTCCAATTGAAGAATTAAAAAAAATTCTTAATTGGAACAACTCACAAAATACAAAATAAAAAATTAATTGTCTTAATAATTCATAATAATTGAAAAAAAAAAAATAATAAATAAAATAAAAAGTTTAAGTTATTATTGTTTTTATTACATTACTTATAAGAGAGTTAGATAAAAAAACACCAAGTGTGAAAAGGTTTCTAAGTCCGAGAGAGCACAAACGCGAAACAGTCTGGTGCAGAGACGCTTCATGACCAGATTTTTAGAAAAAAATAAGGTGACTAAATGAGCTAAAAATCGCTCTTTTATAGGCCCGTTTTATGATGGGGAGACTTAATGTTTATATTTTAATTGCAAAATCCTTGTCATTGGCTAGTCAAGTAAACTTGAATAGACCTATGCGCAATCTATTATTCTACTAATTTGAGTGAATGTTTCATATTTGTATTGGTGTTTTATATCTATCATCTCCCATAATAATGTGATTTATTAGAAAAATCATCAATATAAAAATATAAATAAAATAAAATCATAAGTGCTAAATATCTATTACAATGCTGTCATTCAAGTAAACTGTCTTCTAGCGCTTTCTATTGGAAACCAAACAAGATATAGTTACTACGGTTTTATTCTCATGTAGGTAATAGAATCAGAAATCCTAAAATGAACATTATATCAAAAATCGCATTTTTGAGTTGCAACAGTTTAGATCTAGGGTTGCGAAATATATATCTTAAATTAAAGCTTATTTAATACACTTTATTTAAAAAAAAAAGAAATTTCGGACTTTATTTTGTTTTCATGGTGAAAACAGACATCAAATTTAATAAATATAGTTTAAAAAAACTAAAAAAACACGCTTTTAAATCACATCGAACTAAAAAGTTAAAAATAATTTTTAAAATAAGCTTCAAACAACAATGAACGAAAAATATTAGTATTATTGTGATAAAAACATCGGGCGATTAATATACGAAAAATATGGCACAAAACACCCCGTATCAATCACAATAAAAATTTGTTATATATATATACATAATTGATGACATGCGCGCGTCTACGGGTTAGAAAATATTGTTGTCTACGAGAGTTGAGCGGGGTGGGGCGAATGCGTTACGACAGTTTAGTCTCAAGGTCATACACGACGGGATACGCGACATAATAACACGTGCCGCGTGGAGTTACAAACTTACAAACGACAAACAAACATACAAGTGAAACTAATATAAGCGTGTTAATAAAAAAATACGATTTTTGTAAATTAATTTGTTTTTGTATTTTTAACTTTATAATTCTATAAATTTTTGAAAAATGTATGGATCGTTATCATTTTTTTAAGAGAAATATTATTCATATACTTCTTTCATTCGATATATATTTTTTTTAAATCAGATCATTTCCCTTTATATATTCATATATTATAAATATATATTTCTAATGATAGTGATTTTAATCACTGTCAGATATTATCTATACTTGTCCCATCTATGCCTCGTCCACAAACTGCAACTACATCTGAAACAGTTTTTACTTCTTTACATTGGTCGTAAAGTACTTCTAACTCAACCTGTAAATGTAACGGATCTACAACAAATTGTTTGGGTAAAAAATTCATTGCATCTTGATTTCCAGTTTCAGTTAAGTTTTTCCTTGATAATGGGGGGTTGAACAGATTATATAATGGTTTAATTGTACCATTGCAACTTTCCAAATGATTTTTCATCAGTAATGTGAGCTCATCCAACACAGATTTATATTCTTTCCTATAAAATATTTTAAATTACATATTAGCTGCATTATCTCTATTATTATCAAGGCGCTTTGGTACAAGTCGGCGTCTATGACGAACTGTAAACTCTTTTTTAGAATCCACATCAAAAGACTTCAAAAACTCAATTGAAATATTTATAAGGTTATCCATACCATCTACATCAGAATTAGTAATGTTTAATGATTCTAGAGTACTTGACATGAATATGATTGCATCAGCTATGTTAAGTTCAGTTGATTCGAGGCACTCAGTTAACAACTTCATCTTATTCAAAACATTTTTCATAAATAGAATACTAACAACAAAGTCTACAGAAATTAAACGTTTTGATAAAGAATACGCTGCATTTCTGGTGGATTTATCGAATTTGTCCTTGGTATTTGTTATCTCATCTAAAACTTCCATAATTATATGATATGATGACCAAACAGACTCAATTGTCTCAGCACGTGCTGTGCATCTCGTCTTTGACAAATTTCTGAGTTTAAATGCAGTTTCACTATCAGCTAGTTTGTTGAGTAATGGAGAATATCGTTTTGTACTCGAAGAAAAAAATACATAAACTTCTTACATTACTGAAAACACATCAGATATAATAAGACTAGCTTCACATCCATGTTCAATGAATGTGTTCATTCTATGAGCTTGACATGGAATATAAGGTATTTTTCTATCTAATATTTCAGTTAATTTTTGTTGTGCACCATTAAATACTCCAGACATACTGCTGGCGAAATCATATGACTGAAAAACAAGATTATCAGAATCTAACTCATTCTTTTGTAGTGTGTCTAATGTGCCATTTGCCATTCCTACACCAGTCTTATTTAAAGCTTCGAGGACTTCTATTAATCATTCTTCTGCTGTACCTTCATTAATGACGAACCTTACAACTACTGATAGCTTATCTGTATGTGACAAATCAGGCGTAGTAATAGCCATTATAGAAAACTGCTCGTATTCCCTAACTTTTGCTCTAATAGTTTTGTTCACTGATGACGCAAGGATGGTTATGAACTCGTTTTAAGATTGGGGGCTTAAATATGTAGAATGGTATGGCCGATAACAAGAATCATTAAGCCATTTTTTTAACAAGGGACAGTATCTAGAAAGTAAATAAGTAATTTGTCTAAAGTTATCATTTTTATCATCAACCTTTCCTCTGAATGTTAAACCTTGTCTAGCGAGGGTTTTGGTTACATCCAGTAAGATACAAATTACTTCTTTGTGAAAATTTTGATTGCTCTCTTCCTGAATTTTTCGCTCACGTACTGTTTTGTCAAGCATAAGATTAATGTTATTCGATTTTTTCATGTAATTGCAATAATCAGTCAATGCAGATTTGTGCGTTTCAGAAGTTAAATGTTTCTGTAATTTTCCAATTTTATTTACACCACTGGAGCCTTTTATTTTTTTCCATCCAGTTACACCGATTTCGTTCCAATATGCCTTACTTTTTTGACGACCAGCTATATCAGGAAATAAACCACAAGCAAAACAGTAAGGTGAATCTTTTGCTGTACTATATTCCAAGTGTGGATATTCAATATTCCAAGATGGATTAAAACGATGTGCTTCTCGCTTTGGGTAAATATTTAATTTTGGTTGATGTGGGCCTAGCATGATTAGGTATTGTCTTTGATTATCTGAAGTTATTTTAGTTCTGAGTCCTGGATCATGATGTACTTTACTACTCACAGTATCTTTTTCGGTAAAATTGTCTGAAACTGTATCTATCTGTGTCATTAAGACATTGCATCTGTCCATTATGGAAGAAGAAGTTTTAAGGATGTGTTATAGCATCTTTAACTTTAATTACAAACTTGTAACTATTTACAACTTCATCATCATGAAGTTTTTGAATTATTGGTTCACACATATATATATAATCAATTAAATTTTTAACTGACCAGCACAACCAAAGACGTTTCCTGTTAAATATGAATATTCTAAATTTATTTTTGAACTTTGATTAGTGCAATCACAATGTTTAAGTTCATTAATGACTTTTAATTCGCTCTATTTTTGAGTTGCATTGGTTTCCATAAATTCAATTTCAGAAAAATGTGCATTGTCACTAGCCTTAATAACAGATATTGGTGACTGGATAGCGGAGGTTGGACTTAATTTTGAGTTAACCTAATAAAATTATTCATCAGTTAGCTATTTTACAAAATAAACTATATTTGATTTTTAAATGATTAATCATATTTTAGATTCAGTGGAAAACTGGAACTAGTTTTAGAACTAAGCTTAGATTTTAATAACTATGGGTGTGAAGTTATTGTATTAAACTTATTAAATATTATTAATAACCAACATGACAATTTATAATATTTAATCTAATTTTTTCCTAAGCTCAAAGTATGAGTTAAGAAATATTTATATTTTAATTGTGACTTTATATACAAACATTTTCCAATAAACTTGATGAAGCCACTTGTAAATTCTTATTAGAAGCTTCTAGTGCAGCTACAAATGGATTCATAGGAGCCCCTGGTTCCTTAACTCTAATAAGTTTTCCATTGTGACTAGTCGTTTCATGTCTGGTCTTAAAATCGTTGTTAAATATACTTCCACAACTTTCACATTGCACTTTTCTACGTTTACCCATATTTAAACTTTGGATTTAGGCAGTCAGAATGCCTTAAAAGTTCAAATTTATTAGTAAATTAAACATTTTTAAACTACTATTAAGGACTACAAAGATTACATAAATTTGTTTAGAGTAAAATTTGGAGTATTAATTTACATAAATTTAGAAATTTTTTTTATGTATCATTTACTTAAGTACCTATAATTTGGATTGGGGTACATTTTTCCGTATTTATATTTCTGCAAACTGATTTCCACATGGACATTTTTTATGTATATAACAAATATAAAAAAAAAAATTAAATTAAACTCAATTTTTTTATTTTCGAGTGACCATGACAGCTAGATCACCGCATTTATCAAGACCGTTTGTGACGATCCATTTTTATGATTTATTGACATTTCGATATTTTTCGCGTATAGAACTTAAAATTTCTAGTAAATAATGATTGCAGAAATTGTCAGAAACTTTCTTTTTCTCGGTGGATATGTCTACTACCACTCGCGATATTGTGATTCTCGCCGACATTGGGAATGTCGAAGAGTGCGTTCAAAGAAGTGCAAGACTCGAGTGATAACAAATATACTAGAGCAAGATGCGGAAATAATCGTGTTTAAAGGGACTGTGGCGAGTCTTCGAATCGTACAAGGAACATGTTGAAGATGATATGGAGGACGGGTATTTGTCGAATTTGGCTCATAATATTTTCTTGTGAAGGTCATTCGGAAGGTTATTTGATAAAATTTTTGGAAGCTTGTACATGCGAAAAAATGTTGATTGAAATGAAAATATAATGTAATTTTTTAAGAAAATTAAGGTTTTTTTATTTGCGGAAGCTTGTATATGCGGAAAAATGTCCGGATTCCTATAATTTAGTATAAATTTAGTTTATAGATTACATTATGTGTATTTTCAATAAGGATTATATTACTGTTTTACTATTAAAATTTAATAATTGCGAACTTAACTTGTATTAATACCTTGGTATTATTTGTCTTTTATGATTTATTATGTTTATATTCTTGGCTCTTTTACGTAAATATTTTAATAATTTTTGAAATTTTAAAAATGAAACATAAGTAGTATACATGTAATATACATTTAATATTATTCATTAATAACTTTTTGCAAATTTAGATTACTAAATGAAAACGCTTACTTCTATAATTCACGTCGTTTAAGTAGGTATATTCGATTAAGTGTGATGTTATCACTAGTTTCAGAGTACGGTAGAAAGTGAAATAAAATAATTTTAAAACACAGTTGTCAGTTGATAATAAATTTTTAAAATAAAAACAAATTCTAAAAATACTGGGAGTGACCAGCAATTCCAATGGTTCTATGGGTGGTTGGTGTAATAATTTAGGGGCGTATGCTGACAAACGATATACTAAACCAATAATACGTATATAAAATTGTATAAAGATAACGATTCAAATTAGTCGTAAGCATATGAGTAGACTCAAACATTGGTTTTACCATTAATTTACCAATAAATTTCTATCCATTTAATAATTTACGTTAATTATTAAAATTACCCTCAAAAATCGAAAAACTTTCCCTGGATCCCCGTAAATGAGGAAAACCTCCAAAAAAATTACAAATTTAAAAATCAATAATTTTCGTCATTTTTTCATTTTTCTTTACTTAAAACTGCCATAACTATTTTAAAAATAACCAAATCAATAAATTTTCTTTTTTATAAATGCTTAATGTCTTTACCTATCATTTGGTGTATTTTTTTTATAAATCTGACCCTAAACCTGCCCACAGGGGGGGATTTAATATGACAACTTTTTCACGAAAAATTAACTTTTTCACGNCCTAAACCTGCCCACAGGGGGGGATTTAATATGACAACTTTTTCACAAAAAATTAACTTTTTCGACTTGATTTTTGAAAATGTTCCAGAAAGAATGACACTTTTAAATATATCTTAAATTAAAGCTAATGTAATATATTTTATCATGGAAAAAAAAAATTTCGGACTTTATTTTGTCTTCACAGTGAAAATGGCTACCAAATGCTATTTTTGTGTGAAAATTCTCAATTTTATATTTTACATTTTTAACTTTATAATGCTATAACTTATTGAAAAGTGTATGGATCAACACAATTTTTTTATGAGAAATAATATTTTTAATAATCCCTTTTTAATTCGACATACTTTATCTTAATCAGGATATTAATAAGGAACTAGCAGATCATGTAGCTTTTGGAATAATCCATTAATTTTTTAAAATTAAACACTATCTAAAGATTTGCATCGAAGCGTTTATTTTTGATAGTGATTTTAATCACTGTCAGATATCATTATACTTGATCCAACTATCCCACGTCACTACTGTGCCGCGACCCCCCTGTGCTGGGTTTTTTTTTTCTTGTCTTGAACAATAATTATTTATAAGAATAGTTATTTTGTTCGTATTAATAAAACATTATCATAAACCATTGATAAAATTTCTCTATCAAAATTGATTGAGGTTTTTTTTTGGGTGTAAAAAAATAACACAGCATAAACATTTATCATAATTTTATTTCAATAATTTTTGCATTAGTAGAATGCTCTAACGATGTAGATTTCAAAAACATATCGATTGTAGCGATATTCAACAATTTTTTTTTTTTTTGTTATTTGAATCACTCTGTATTTTTATATTTTTCATTTGGATCACTCTGTATACAAAATTTTTAGAAAAATGCTATGATTTCAATAATTTCTGCATTAGTAGAATGCTCTATCGATGTAGATTTCAAAAACATATCGATTGTAGCGATATTCAACAATTTTTTTTTTTTTTGTCATTTGAATCACTCTGTATTTTTATATTTTTCATTTGGATCACTCTGTATACAAAATTTTTTAAAAATTATGATATTTTGACTAGATTTTAAGTTTATCTACTAAATAGTTTGTGTTACTTTTATTAGCTCCGATACGAAGTCGAGAAGATTACTACGAAATCAAGCCAGAAAAATGTTACATTAATGTGTAATTTGTTTTCAACTGTATTTACACCAATTATGGCTTTTCTGTCTAAATCACACGTAGAAACGACTGGAATATTTCAAGTTCACTCACTTTATTGTGGAATTATACAAGGAAGACGCTTTGCTCAAAAAGGCCGTTAGATATGTATGTCCATTGCCGATAAAAGATTAAAATATATATAAATATTTGATTTATTTAATACCGGTTAGTTCATTTATAAATGTGTTAATATCATGTGTTAAAATTTGTTTATAATGTTTTTTAGCTTCGACGCCAAGCTAAAAATGTATTAATTTTACCATGACGTGTTTATTTAATTTTATTTTTGTGTCGTTCACTAATTTTTTTTAGCTCACACTGGACCGATTTTTCTCAAAAATACGTCAAAAGATCACAAATCGTATCTAGTTGAAGATATTACCCTCAAAAATTTTAAAATATTGCCCTCGTTACCCGTAAATAGTAAAAATCCTCCGAAAATTACGATTTTTAAAATCGGTTAATGTCGATGTTAATGTTAATTCTTTTAATTATAATTTAATTACGTACTTCTTTATTTCTTTTTGCATACTAAATTTTATATATGCATAATTTTTTACGTTTATTTTATTAAGATGAGGTGGAATAAAATTCTACTTATTGGATGTATTAATTATAATAGAAATGGGTCCAGTGCTCTTTTTAGAAAAAATTTAAGGACTCCTATAATTTTTTTATACACTTATGCAAACGCTAGTAACAAAACTGTATATTAATAAAATTGTCCTAATTGGGTTGCTACTATTGCTACGAATAGATGATGCCACGACGTTCAATTACTATGATATTTAATAAAAGACCATGATGGGATTGGACTTCATATGTTGGGCTAATTAATGTGATAGTAATTGTGCATGTAATTAAGTTGGTAGTATTGATGATTTAGGCATATTTTATATTAGGCTGTTCTTATTTTTCTAAAAAGTATTTAACTCTACAAAATATTGGATAATACCACAGATAAGATAAAACCAGATGGTGCACTTTCTATTCAAGACATGTAATTCTCAAAAATGTAAACAATCAAAACCTACCTCAGATTAGGGTCGCCACTCATACATAAAAGTCTTTATAAGAAATTATTGTTTTATAACTATGCATTACTGACTTTTATTGTTTGTTATGACGTCGTTGTAAGCC